GTCTGTGTCTGTGTGTGTGTGTGTGACTGTGTATGTCTCTATACACAGAGAGTTATAGAAATAATGCAAAGGAATGAAGAGTACATAAATGATTAGGTAGGTCAATGAATGTATGACCGCATGAATGGATGGAGTGGAATGGAATGGTTGGATGCAAGAAAGACAGAATGGATGAACGAAGGAAGCGATGAAGCAAGGAAAAAAAAAGGAAGCAAGGAAGGAAGCAAAGAAGGAAGGAGGGAAGGGAAGATAGTAATAATCACATAAATAGGCAACTCGATATAACAAAACACTTGTCATTATTGCTTTAGTGGGAATATTTGTCAGTGTTGTCGTTGGAGTGGGCGCCCAGTTCCGCTTCGTGGACCATGTGATGCCCGGTCTCAAGCTTGCGATGCCAACCTGCCCAGAACATCCCTGCATAGGGGTCCTTGTGTTGTCTGAGCGTTGTTGTGCGCGGATAAACTTTGCAGAATGCTATCGCCGTATCTTCACTCGTTGCATCTTACTGTCACCACGTTTTCACAGGTCTGCATCCCCGACATCGACATAGAGAAAGCACGGCCTCCCGGTTTGTCTCTGATCTTGGGCGAGGGCGAAAGCATCTGGAACAGCTGCTCGGCATCCCGAAAAACAGCCCGCAGTCGAGCAGCCCGCAGTCGCAGCTGATGACGATCCCACCTGCCGAAACTAAGGCAAAATGAAGAAGAGCTACTGTTTGGAAGGAGATGTGGAAAACAATCCATTAATGGACCTGCTCTGCCTTCTCCTGAAATGCGAGCTGCTTGCAGGGGCCCCAGCTGGCCCCTGGTCCCCAGCTGAGGGCCTTGAGCTTGCAGCTTTACAAAAAGGACACCGGAGCAAAGCCTTTGCTCGAAGTGCGGCAAAAAGCGGAGCACGGGGGAGCCCGGACCCGAGTCAGCGCGGGATACCCCTCCGAAAGAAGAGACCCGTCTCTCTCAATGCTTTGCCTCTCTTTATATCCGCTTTTCTGAAAAAGAAAAACCAGGACAAAGACTACGCCTCCTTTGCAGACGTCGAGTCAGCCTTTGCCAGCAAAGAGCTCCACCCCTCGGCCTTCAAGCCCGCGGTGCAGGACGCAAGCCGCACCACACCGCTATAGGCCATGCCATCCATGCCTTCGTCGTTGAGCCTGCCTAGTTGGACCCTTTGCACAGGACCGCGCAAAAGCAGCGCTGGCACCCCTGGTGCTACTTCCCAAAGATGCAGCTTTCAAGTGTTTCGGCTCACTGCTTCTGCACTTTTTTCCAGCACCTGACCATCCCGCGGCAAGAAGTCTGCGCTGCAGGAAGCTGTGCACCATCTTGGACACTTTCTTCAAGGCTCAGAGCAAGAAGGCCAAGAAGTGATCGCGCGAGCGCATCCAAAAAGCCGGAGCTTTGCTTGCGTGATTTCTTGTCGTGACAAATGTTTTTGCACGGCTCGGCACTCGGCTCAACGAAGGAAGAAAAATCTTGAAAAGGGGAAGAGAGACGTAGCGGACGTAGCGATTTCGCGAGGGGGCGCACTGACGCCGCGTTTTCCGTGGGGGGCGGGGCGGGAACGTGGTGTTCCCCGCAAGGACCGCAAGCTTTATCTCAGCTGGCGTGTCTTAACTCCTGAGTGCACCTCCTTCGAGCGTGAGGATGATGCCGATGCCGCCGCCTTCTCCTCAGCCTCGCTGGTTAGCTAGTTAGTAGCAGTTAGAAGCTCGCCGCAAGCACTGCAGCACGCTCAGGCCGATGATCGGCATGCCCATGTGGGAGACCGAATCGACTTGCAAGCAGTTCCCGGCTGCGCGCACTCTTTCTGTGGCACAGGCCAGCTGACGACAAGCTGAAGCAGGCAGCGGGAGTCGGAGTCTCCGGGTCCGAGTCTTGGGCGGAGGGGTTGGCGTTCTGCTAGGCACAGAGGGCGAAGGCGCCCGGGGGGAAAGACGACAAGGTGAGACGTTAGCAGGATGCCAGCAGAATGCCTGCTTCACAGAAGGCTCTTTCTCGTGTCTGGAACCTTCGGGGAAGGTTACCACGGTCTTTGTGGGCGGCCTTCGCAAAAGCACAACAGAAGACAAAGTCATTGGCCACTTTTCCAAGTTCGGACAGGCCGAAGCGAAGTCCGTGCGATCGGGAAGGGGGCGGGGGGCGGGGGCGCGGGTTTTGTCAGGTGGACAACGTGGATATCAAGCGACTTCCCGACGGAACTTCTCGAGGGTTCGCATTCGTGAAGTTCGTCGACAGAGAATCCGTGGACAAGGCCGCCGTGGCCGCTTTTCGCCTATTTTCGCAGCGAGCTGGAGCCCCTGATTGATCTCGGTGTAAAGGTGATAGAAGCCAAGTCCAGCCACATGATAGACAACAAGTGGGAGCAGCCGGCATGTTTACATCCTTAAGTTGCACTCGCTACCGGGCTACCGGATCGGCAGAGGTGGCCGTGAGACCACACGGGGGCTCTGCTTTTGCGGCGGTGTGAGCCTCAGGCCTTGCAAGTCCTCAGGCTGCAGAAGTCTCCATCAGCCATAGCCACATGGCAGTGGAATAGTGGAAACTGTGCCGTGCCGCCAAGGCACAGAACGCTGAACGGAGCAAGCAGGCCTCCACCAGCTGCGTGCTACGTCACAGTGTATAGGTAACTACAAACCAGCGCTGACTCCCTGCACATGTGCTTTGTGGATGCGTGGACACGTAGCTCGCGGTGGCAGCGGCGTCGGCGCAGGCGGAGGAGATCCGCAAGAAGGAGAAGCACGAGGACGACCTTCAACAGGAGGACCGGTGACCAGCTCAGCACAGCTCGGCTGTGCGTGCGTGTGTGTGGAGGACTACGAGGAGAAATGGTCCGAGCGCTACCTGCAGCAGGCCGCCTCCATGCAGAAGGCCCAACTTCAGGGGAAGGAACGCGGGGGCGCTGTCCCGGTGCCTGCCCGTCCAGGACGAGGCCGACGGGACCGGGGAGGCCAAGGAAGGCCTGGCTCGCCTGGCATTGGCTTCCTGTCAGCGTGTATGCGTGTGCTTGGTGCGCCCAGGGGATGGAGCCATGTCCATGAATCCCATGATGGCCATGATGGGTATGATGAACCCCATGCCACAGCCTTGGAGGGGATCAGGACTTGAGGTTGCTACGGTGCGCGTTTCTGCTTCAGGATGATGGGAATGATGAACCCGATGATGATGCGACCGCCCATGTCAGCTTCTAAAGAGCATCCGAAAGACCGTTGCTGTTCTCTCCTGTCCGAATCATCTCTTCAGGATGATGGGCTGCGGTTGCCCAGGTGCCGGCCAGCGGATGTGAGAGAGCGAGAGAAGTGCGTACTGCTGAAGCGGAGGCATGATGGGCTGTGGCCTGAACCTCAGTCAAAATGGGCTCAGGGCGCGGCTTCGCTCTCGGCTCAGCGCCGTAGCGTCGTCATGCGTCGTTTCGTGTCTCATGTCAGGTATGCCCGGTGCAGGCGCCGGCGGCATGCCGGGCTCCGCGCCGGCAGCCGCGAGCGAGGCCGAAGCGGAGAGCGGAGCGGAGCTGTGAGAAAGAGCGGATGAATTCGCGAAGGCCAGCGGAGCGCCTGGAGAGGACCCGAAGCCGCATGTGAGCCGAGAGTCGCCACGCCATCACCCATGGCAGTAGGGCGAAATGTTTGGCGGTCAGGCATGCTTGTAGAGGGGGGTTCATAGACCGCTCCATGCAGGAGAGCGACACTGCCGCAGCCGCCCCCGTTGGCCCGGGCGCGGCGGGAGGAGCAGCGGGTGGTTCAGGCCCTGCAGCCCCCGCGGGCGGCTGCTGCCCTGGCCCGGCGGGCTGTGGCGGCTGCCCCATGGCAGGCCAGGCTGCGCAGCTGCGCTTCGTTCCCCGGCTCTGCCTCCCGTTGATTCATGAGGCATGGGCTGCCCGATGATGGGCGACTCGGATCTTACCTACGTCTTCTCACGTCTTCACGCCTCTCTTCACGTCTCTCTTCACGTCTCTTCACCCAAGGCATGCCATGCATGGGGGGGTGCCCGATGATGGGCCAGAAGCTCAGAGCGGAGCCCGCCGAGCCCCGTCGTCAGCCGAAGATTTGAAGGGACGGAACAGGGAAGAGGGCCGATGAGTCCGGGATGAGGCATGGGCGCGATGCCCATGGGCTGCATGCCAGGACCTGGCCGGAGAAAGCGAGGGATAGGGAGGGATGACTCTTGGTGACTTGGTCCAGCTTGGTGACAGGATGCATGCCCGGGGGGGCAATGCCTTGTTGCGGAGCGGGGGGCGCCGCCGGCACTGGCGCGGCCTCCGGGGCCCCGGCCGACGCAGGGCCGATGAAAGAGGGAGCTCCCTCGGAGCGATCTGCGCCTTACTGAGAGGCGCAATTCATTTGCGCTCTGCGCTCAGCTTTAAGCTCTCTCACCCTCGCCAGCGGCGTATACAGCGGCGTAGCGCGGCCTGAATATAAGGCTTCCGCGCGACTCCCACAGCTTTAGTGTATATATAGGCAACATTGCCCGCAATGCGTCTCCATTCGCTCGCAGCTTGCGCTTTCTGAGAAATTGTCGATGTCAGTCTTCCTGAAGTCCCATGAAAGGGGCATGTGCTAAGTCCCATGAGTTCTTGTGCTCGGAGATCTTCGCCCACCACGGAAGGGTTCAAGCTTGTTGCCTATTAGGGGATAACTCGACCGTTGCGCTCCCTTCCCCACTCCGTGCCAGCGCGGACCGCGGCAGCTTCCCAGAGAGAGATGACCGCGTTTGTGCGGTTTGGCAGATCTAAGGTGCCCATCAGATGGCGAGCTTCGGTGCTGGGAATCCTTATGGGGACCCGAACTGGTACAACGCAGTGCGCCGCATGGAACGGAGAGCTTTATATAGACTGAGCCTCTATTCCATGGGACGGGCAGGCCTACCACAGCCCCTACTACAAGGAGACGCACAAGGCGTCGCAGGGGAAGTCTTCTGTTCCTCGCAGTCTGTGCCCGTTTCGAGGCGTGGCGCGCCAGGCGGCCGACCTTTGCTGTGACTATCTGTGTTGACCGCGTGTGCGAGAGCTGCTTCAAGGGCATGGCCAGAAGCACTGAGCCGCGAGATGTGCACGGCTGTTTTGGGCAGGTGTCGGAGCTTTGTGGAAGAGCACATCATGCCCTTCGTGAGCGAGTGGGAGGCTACTGCCAGCGAGAGTGCAGAGAGGGCCGGGGTGAACTCCCTCTGACTCCACAGGTGAACAAGGCAGTGCCTCGGGATACGTACGTGAAGTGTGCCGAGGTCGTTGTTGAACTTTAGTTGTATGTTTGTGTTGCTTGGGTGTTGGGTGAGTGGGGTTGCTCGTTTGGAGGCTGGTCTGCTGCCGGTGGTGGTGGGTGCCCATTCGGGTGCCTTCGATCTTGTTCCCAAGGAGGCTCCACAGGAGAGACTCGAGATCAAGATATGAGAGATTGATTAAGGAGCGAGAGGAAAGTTTCGCCAGGACTTGGACTACTTCCATGAGCTCATCTTCGTGGACGAGCTTGCCAGGCCGCATCCGCTGTGCCGCTGCTTTGCGTATACAGGCTTTTGGGGGAAGGGCCCGGCTCAGGTGCGGCAGCGGAGGCGTCTTGTGGGGCCTCATCGAGGCGTTGCGCGCTCTTTTAGAGACTCCGGAAGACCCGAGAGCCCGGTGCCCTGCAGGGGCTCCAGATTGGTTTGCCGCCGGTCTTGAACTTCGGCACGGAGGAGATGAAAAAGCGCGTGGCAGACGCCTCGCTCTGCTTCTGCGGCTGTGTGGCAGTGCATACCTTCTCAGGCGCCGGACTGCCTCATGGGGTCGTGACCTGATTGACCTCTTCGCGAGCCTTCGCGAGCCTCGGCCTCACCCCCGGACGCTCCTCGGCTGGCAGGCGGAAGATCATCTCTCTGAACATCACGGAGCCATCCGCGGGCAGCGACGTCGCAGCCATCAAGCGCGCCCACCCGAAGCTTTTTCGGCCGACCTGAGCTCCGCTGAAACGCGCAGGACCACCGCCATCCGAGAGGGGGATTTCTACATCGTTAACGGCAACAAGAAGTGGATCACCAATGGGGTCCAGGGCCTTGTTTTGAGCATGTGACTGTGTGTGCAGAGCCTCGGCGACCGACTCAGGGGGAACGGGCCCACCTTTTCTTGACTCCCATCCTTTTTTTTCCTGACCCCTTCATTTTTGTTTGACCCGCCCTCCTTTTTTTCCGACCCCTGCACCCAACAACACTTTTTTTCCGACCCCACCCCCGCCACCTGTATCCCTTGTCGACCCCCCAACCTATTTTTTTCCACACCCTACCCGTGTTTTCGACCCTTCCACCTACTCAACTGACCCCTCCCTCTCCCTCTGTCCAGCCCGGCCAAGTTAAGGGCCCAGGGCCAGGCCAAGCGCCCAGCACAATGGCCGAGCCCAAGCCTGCCAAGCCCAGCCCTAGCTTTCGTTCTCTTCTGTCCCCCCCCCTCTCTCTCTCTCCCTCTCCCTCTCTCCTGCCTGAAAATCTCGCTGGTTGTCCTCTCTTCTTGCATCGACCGTCCTTCTCCAACCCGTCTCTGTTTCCCTCCGTCCCTGTCTGTCCCTCGTTCTGTTTCATTTTTGTTTGCTCTCTGTCTCTCGTCCTAAATAGATAGTATGCTCTTGAAGGTTTATCGAAAAGATATATGAGACACGAAGCATTGTTAGTAAATAAGTGAATCTGCTTGAAGAAAGACGACTTTAATATCAGAGTCATGTGGAAGAAAGAGCAATCCGAAAGAGTAATTCATTCGTTAAGAAAAACCCTATCCAAGTTATGATGTTGTTGAAAGCACGTTCTTAAGCAAAGTGAAGACATGTAAAAGAAAGAAGATTTGAATTATCAGTTCACTACATATCGGTTATAACTAAATATAGACAAAGTAATCATAATTTGATGAAAGATTCTTTTATCAAAATATTGATAATGTTGAACTAATAAAAAATACATAGTGGTGGTGAAATCAATAATTTATATGGTATTGAAGCAATGGAAAAAACGCTTATGCCTTTGTTGAGATCCTAAAATACCTAGCTGGAGAAAAAGCAAAAACCAGATTCAAACAAAATGAACTTTATCATATAATGAGACCACAACTTCAAGAAAGTTGGGATGGAGTGGGAGATTGGAAATTGATGCCATAACTAATATATCATAAACAACTACATTTTATAGTATATTGGTTACTACTGTCTACTTAAAGGCAGACCGACCTTTTACAGCAGGAACTATCTATGACCATCCCAGATTTTAGCAGCTGCGATGCTTGTAAGAAAGACAAAGATATGATCCGTTATTTTTCGCAAGATCTTACCAGAAGTTATGGCAGATAGAATCGTTTCTTGTGATTGTTGCTATTCTGGCATGATGAAAGCAATGAACAAGATAATAAAGCCAATGATCTATATCATGTGTCGAGTTTGGCAGGCTTGGGTGCACATGAATCATTTGTTATCGTTCATCCTGCCTTTTGGTTCAAGCTTTGGCAGTTGAGCGAACAAGGCAGATTTGATTGTGCGATAGCCTCAGGAGTTGAACCTGTTGCGGTGGTGCCCGCACCATGGATCATGAGCATAACCTTGTTGAGGGTTATGGCTATCACACCTTCAAGCAGACCCTGGCTACACCGGCTTATTTGGACTGGCCGCTTCGGCTGCGCGAGCACTATGAGGCGGGCCACAGGGTTGAATGACTCGTTCACTGGAGCAGAGTTCCACCCGTCTTTGAGCGCCCTGCCGAGTGTGATGGTACCTTGCCCCCGACACCTATTGCTGCTTGTACAGACTTGCAGTGTGCCGGCTGCTCTCGCAGACGGGGGGGCTTTCAATTTCCATATGTCGGAACCTTTACCAGGAGGGATGTACTTGTCGAGGAAGGTCTGCCGCCGCTTGCCGCTTTTGCGCGAGCTGAGCAGTGCAGGGTTCGCCTCAACGAAGCCGAAGCCACAGCAGCCAGAGGTGCCTGGTGCTTTCGGTCAGCGACATATTGCCAGCCCACCTCTCCAACCTGGTGCAAAGGGTGGCGGCGAATACCCACCCGAGGTCAAATTTTGGTTCGTGGCACGGAGTTTTGGCTGGTGTGGCGGGACTGGCAGCAAAGCGAGCGAGCCTGGCGAGATCCCTCTTTGTTTCCCGTGGCGAGACGGGAGCAGGCACGAGGTGACGTGCAAGCACGGGCAGGCAGAGCCCTCTGGTATTGGCTGGGGGCCCTTCAGGCAGATGATGGCCCCAGGTTGTATTGTGCATGCCAGTCATGCGGTTTGCCGACTCGTCTCATCTGCGGCCACTGTGCGGCGACCTGCTGCCGTGATTGCAGAGCCGACTGCATTGTGTGCCCAGGGGTGGACGAAGTCTGAGGTGATCTTTCTCCGCTCTCCCAGCCTGCGGCAGCGAATGGAGCTTATGCTGCTGGCTCTCGGCTCAGGCCCATGCTAGCAGCAGTCATGGCGGGGGTTTATGCGCAGCAGTCCATGGAAGCGGCCGGGGGTGAAGAAGCAGAGCCAGCTTCTTCTTCCTCGGGCTTGTTTGGTGAAGAATCGTCGGCGGAAGTCAGGGGGGCAACGTGGCGCAAGGCCTTTGCACTGACAGCCGACGCTGATTTTGCCTACGTTTTCATGAGCTGCGAGGAGGCAGCGCGCTAAGCCGGAGCAGAGGTGGCTGCGGCGTGGAGGTCGGTCCGGGAGACGGCCGACGAGAATGCAGCGCTTGCCTTTGCAGGTATTCCAGCTGAGGTCCTGGATGATATGACGGATCTGTGGATTGAGGCCAGCGTGCTGCGACCAACTGGCAGGCAGGCGGAATGGGAGTCCTGGGAGCAGAGGCCCCTACTGTGCGCAGGGCCCTCTTGACCCTCGGCGTTTATTGATCAGGGGTGCAAAGCCCCTCACCGGGCACTGGCCGGCCTCCGTTGGTGTGGCGGAGTTGTCGTGGAGAGTCCCGGTCGCGATGCCGACAGCCAAAGGGGAGCGACCCCGTGATGATCGGCAAGCTGTCTTGGCTGAGCCCCCTATGCTGGTGCAGCTCGAGAAGGCCATCGAAGCTCAATGCCAGGTTGGGGATCCTCGGTGGATGGCTCTGTTGGGCCAGTGGATGCAGGCTTCAGCGTGCATGCGCTATGTGCACCTCACCAGGAGTGATGTGCTGGCTTTCACGGGGTCGACCGTGCATGTTTTGGGGCAAGCCAGCTTTGCCATGCAGGTCTATTCAGGCCTGTTGTTTGGTCTGCCGCTGGCGGTGACCAGCTTCAACAGACTTAGCCGCTTTACAGAGGCTGTCGGTCGTCGCCTTACAGGTACTATGGTCTCTATGTACTTCGATGGTGCCCTCTCACTGATTTGGGCTCGGCCAAGGGTTCAGGTCAGCACGCCTTTTGGCGAAGTAAATCGCTTAATGGGCTCTCCGTTTGCCACTGAAAAGAGGCAGGCGATGGCTTCGTCAGGAACTTCCTTGGTCTTGACTGGGACTTTACGCTCTTAAGACAAAGGAAAGCTGTCAGGTTTTGGGTGCGGTCGCGTCTCCAGGACAAGGTCGCGAACCCTGTTACGGCAAGCGGAGCTCGACGAAGCTTTGCCTTCTGCTACGGCATCGAAGCTTTATGGGATTCTCAACTTCCTTGAGCAGGGAGGGCATCGGTCGCATCGGAACCGGGGGTCTCCACGCACTGAAGGAGAGACAGAACGAGACAGGCCGGGAGTTGACCCGAGCCCTCCGTCACACCTTTGAGACCATACGGTCCGTGCTTCGCTTGAGACCACAACGTGAAGTTGAGATACTGCCTTCTCTATGTGAGCGGTTTGTGGCTGCGAGTGACGTGGCTGAAGACACACCGCGGCAAGGAACTGGAGGATTCCTCTTAGTATGGGGCGGCGAGTACCAGTTCAGAGAAGCTTTTGTGGCAGAGATCACAGAACAGACCTACGAGGCCTTTCTGCCAGGAGAGGCTACAATTGCCCAACTCGAGTTGTCGATGGTCCTGTTTGCTCTCACATCTCGAGCTTCGGCTTTTCGGCGTCGCCGAGGAGTCTGGTACATCGACAACGTGGCGGCACTCATGGCCCGACTCATGGATCTTATTCGTGGTCGCTCCGACTCACCCGATCTGGAGCGCTTAGCTAACTTGATTCATGTTGCCCTATTCTCGCTGGAGACTTGGATCTACCGGGGGTGGATCCCCAGCAAGTCGAATTGGGCAGATGCTATCAGCCGTCTAGGGGAGGAGGATCCCTGGTGTGCTGCGAATGGCTTGAAGCTGCATCGCTCCTTCTTTCCGTCGTCGGAAGTGTGGTCCCTTCCGCTTGTGCCCGCCATGCTCGTTTTTCAATATCTGTAGAAGTGCTTTGTGGGTGTCTGAGGCGTGGTAGGCTCTTGGCAATACCGGAACCCAGGGAGTTGGACCTACCCTGGGCATCCGGCAGAATGCCAGACCGGATGTGTTACCAGAGCACTTCCTGTGAGATGTTGCACAGGTTCTGCAGAGACTAACGCGGAGCACCTCGAAAGGAAAAGAAGTGCGGAGCGAATGCAGTAGCCTAGTGATGTGATTAACGAATGTATATCATGTGTCGAGTTTGGCAGGCTTGGGTGCGCATGAATCATTTGTTATCGTTCATCCTGCCTTTTGGTTCAAGCTTTGGCAGTTGAGCCAAAAAGGCAGATCTGATTGCCCGCCCACCCTCCCTTTGAGACGATCCCGGTGGGGTAATCCTCTCTTTTGGGTGTGGCAGCGAGAGTTGACCTCGACTGCATCCGGTAGGGTGTCTGAGCCGTGGTAGGCTCTTGGCAATACCGGAACCCAGGGAGTTGGACCCTGGGCATCCGGCAGAATGCCAGACCGGATGTGTTACCAAAGCACTTCCTGTGAGATGTTGCGCAGGTTTTACGGAGACTAAGGCGAAGCACCTCGAAAGGAAAAGAAGTGCGGAGCGAATGCAGCAGCCTAGTGATGCGATTAATGAATGATTTAAGTCACATTGAAAAAATGAAATTCTGTATTTTAGGCGGGATCATTTACCAATATTTAGTGCATATGATAGAAGCATAGTAAGAGAAACAAACCAACACAAATACATAATTGAGACAGGAAGCAGTCCGTTTAAGAATGCTTTAAAATCATATGTTGGAAACTGTTATAGATTTAGAATTCTTCACTTCTGTATGATTATGAGGAGTTTACATGATAAGGAATGGCATGTGAACATTCTGTTTCGATGTCTTCAAACATTCGTCAAAGAGATATAGTGATCAAAAAAAGACATACAATGTTAAATGGTTGTGTAGATTGATTGTTCATGAATATTTAGAGATTTGATTGGTTATGATAAAAAGCATATGAATACCCTTTGAATAGTTTATGTGATAGTTATAACTCATAATAACTAGAGACACTGCATACCCTAGGCGGGAGGGCTAGGGGTGGTAGACACATAAAGGGAGGGGTCCCTACTATAGTAAGAAATGATGCACTGTCAACCTCAAGGGGAGACGAAAAAGCTAGAAATACATAAGTTTGGAAGAAGAAAACCCACTACCACAAAGAGAACACCAATTTTGGATTAACGTTTCAGATAAGTTTCTGGAGAAGAAAACGCCCATTGCTGCAGATGATAAGAAGACAAAAGACGATAGAATTGAAATGTTTTTTGCTACTATGATGTTGAAAGGTGGTGAAGACGGAATGATTGACATTTATACAAAACTAACAACATAAAAACCATTAAAAGGGTTGGAGAACAGTTTAACGAAAGATTCGGTATGAGTTCATTATATATCAATACTTGTAGTCTTCGTGAAGCAAACAGAACAATGACTGTCAATGATGATCTAAACATGTCAATATTAAAAGCTATAGTTCAAGATAACGGAATTTGGAAAGAAACATAAATTTCCTGAATTTGAGAAATCCCTGAAATATTGAAGTGGTTGGATGTTTAACAAAGGTTATAAATCTATGGCAAAAAGCACGAAAAATCATTGAAATCTGGGTTCATATTTTGGTATAATGAATAAGCTGATCAAAAACCCTACAAACCGTGAAAAGAATACTGTTTAAAGTCCCTTGAAAATTGAAGCAAAAAGTGAATAAGGTGATTGTATACAATGATTATATGCGAAAATAATCAAAACATGAAACATCGAAAGTAATTGCAACAATTCAATTAGTTTAATAAATGCCCGCGTGAAAAAAAATACATAGATATATATATATATCTCTCTCTCTCTATTTATATTATGAAATGAAATAGGTTCATAAAATGATACTGTTGTAAAGTTGAGAAATTAATATGATGAAATATGATGAGATGAATATGCTGCGGACGTAAGACGTAGGCTGTGGCGGAAACCCCTGAAACCCCGGTGTCACGGCTGTTCCGCAGATCTTCTCCGACTACTTTACTTGCGCCGTGCGGACGGGTGGACAGGTGCCTTTGGCATGGGCAATCACGGCCGCGGAACTCATCGGATTGCATGTGCCGATGCCGGCCAGGGCATGCGAGGGGTGTCCATGCTGTTGCTCGAGAAGGATTCCATGCCAGGGACCGGCCTCCAGTCTGAAGCACACGGGGGCACAGACGGCAGGGAGAGCTTGGCTGGACGCGCAGGATCACGACCAAGAGGATGGACTGCCAGGGCGTCGGGAGCCCTGCAGCACGAGACCTCCAAAAGGAGGCATTGCCGGTCAAGGGTGCTTAGTCTAAGAGTCTAAGGTCTGGCCCAGCGGGACGACCTATGTAGAGTTCGACCAGGCCAGACAGCAGAGATGAGCAGAGAGGCAGGAGAGAATTTTGTTTCCAGCTCGAAGCAGCTAAGGTCAAAGTTCCCGTGGCCAACTTGATCGGCAAGGATTTTCGGAATGCGCAATGGTCGGAGTTAATGACACTTTGCTGCAGGAGAACGAGGGCTTCGGTGTCATCATGAAGAACTTCAACCATGAGCGCTGGGGCTTCGTGGTTCAGGAGCGCAGGGTTGAGCGAAGCGGCGAGCAGCGCACCGATTGGGCGCCCATGGCCCTTGGGCAGAGGCGACTCGCTTCAGTCGTGTGCTCCTGGAAGAGCCAGGGACCAAGAGCGGCGAGCAGCAAAGCTTCCGGACTCTGACTCCGCACGACTCTGCTCGGCTCAGCTCCTGGAGCTTTGCAAACAAGCGAAGCACTTTTGGGTTCGGGCCTCATTGCGGCCTCATTGCGGGTGCTTTAGACGTCGCGGGCCTTCCCCGCGGCGCCTCAGACTGACAGGAAGAAGCTCGTGGAGCACCCGGTGATACGCTGGAAGTTGGCCGAGATGACCCGTCAGGCGGGGGAGCAGAGGCTCACAGAGTTTTTTTTGGGGGGAAGCCCCTCTTCAGGTAGAGGGCATCCACCACTGGCTGGAGAACATGACTTTCCAGCTCTGCCAGCCCGGGCACCCAAAAACAACGCGAAAGCGGCGTCGCTCCGCCCCGGCTCTGCAGGATGCCCAAGGACCAAGCCATGACCACGCTGGGCGGACCCATCGCGCTAATGAAGGTGCTCTTGCGTTCTTGGGTTGCTGCATGGGTGGGGGTTTCAAGACGTCCGCGTTTTTTCAGTCCTGCGCGAGGCGCACTCCTCGAAGATCTTCGAGTACTGCGCACGCGAGGCCAGGTGCCGGAAACCGCAGCGAGAGCATGCGGAGGAGAAGAAGAATAAGACGGTCATGCCGTTTATTGAGCCGTATTGGCTCCTCTCCGGCCCAGGCACGGCAAATCTTCGGGGGCAATGCCTACACGCGGAGCGGCCTGGGAGAAAGAGCACGGAGCCCAGCGCAGAGCCCTCCACTCCGTGGAGTTCCGGCTCTATGTTTTTGTTGTTTTGTTTTGTCGGTGGTTTTGCGAGGCCGAGCGGCTGTACCGTGACGTTGGCGCCTACGCCATCCCCGGTGGCAGCGAGGAGATTTTGCTGGACCTGGCCATCCGCCAGGCCAGGCCCAAGAAGAGCAAAAGTCAGCGAGACTGTCACGCGTGTTGCGTTGCCAGGGCAACAAGTCCAAGCTCTGAGAGCGTTGGCTTAGTGGCTTAGTTCCTTTAATTCGAGTCTCATAGCCGTCGCCGCTTTCAATTTTGTCCGGGCAGCAAAACGCCAAGCGGAGGCAGAGGTTGGTCTGATGAGCCGGTCGCTGCCCGGAAGAACCGAAGCGCAAGGAGTGCCTCCACGGAGCGGAGCCTCCGGGACCTTCGTAGACTTTCGGATTTGGAAGAAAGAGAACAAGGATCGTGTGTGACCACGTCGCGTAGGGGGAGACGCTTTCTCCGACAAAGCGCCGCCAAGCAGAGGGCCAAGCGCCGCGCAGCCTTCTCGTGAAAGCATAGGGGTAGACGGAGCCGATCGGAGACGGAGATCCGCGGACCCGCGGATGGAGGCTCTTCTCGAGGATCTTTGCTCTCTGCTCTTACTGCTCGGTAGCTCACTTGCTTTCTTTTTGCAGTGCGGTGAGGAGCTGAGGCGAAGCCAGGACCGGCTTCGGAAGGAGGCCCGGAACGGAGAGCGCTGGAATGTCTTTCGCCGCCTTTCGCCAGGTGCTGGCTGGCCAGGCAGCGATCCTCTCCGAGCTTCGGCCTCTCGGCGCAGTCGCCTTTCCTGGACGCCTCTCCTCGCCCGATCTCGCCCGATCGGAGGAGCCTGCACCACTACTGGAAGCAGCAGCTGGGAGCGGCGCAAGGACCCAGCCGAAAAGCCCCCAGCTGCCGCTTTGCTGCCGCTTTGCTGCCGCTGCTTCGCAGGTTCGAGGGCGGAGGTCGTGGAGCTCGCGGAGGACGCGGAGCTCGCGGAGCTCGCGGAGTCGAGAGTCTCTGGGGAGGAAGCGGTCGAAAGAAAGCTCTCCGAGGGCCTGCAGGACTTCACCGACTCCATCGTGCGCGCCCCGCGTCGCCTCCGCGGTTGCAGCTCGGTGGCGGTGCCTGGCGGTGCCTTGAGGTCCAGAGCATCGAAGGACTGAGCTCCCGGGTCTTCGAACTCCCGCGACCCGGGCCCCAGCCCAAGCCGCGAACTCAAAAATGCAAGCGACCAGCCACAGCGTCTCATGGCCGGGCTCAACCAAGGACGACCGCGACCTCTGGGAGTGCAAGGTCTGAGAGAAGCGTCCGCTTCGATCCGGAGCCGCCATGGCGACAGCCGCTGTCGCGGCCGTCTGGTGATTTCCATGGCCTCGCAGCGCGTGCCGCTGAAAGCGGCTGGGCCTGGGAGGCGCCGGAGCCGCCGAGCTCGCGCTCTCTTCGAGACCCACGGGAGCCACCGGACCCGCTTGACCCGCAGCCGCAGGAAAGGCAAAAGTAAAGGAGCGATGTCGGAGGGGCCTGAGTCTGAGCAGACGGCGCGGAGTCATTCGTCTCCGTCGGGCTCAAGACATCCAGAGGCCCCAAACATCCCCAGAGGCATCATCCTGAAAGTTGCTCTCGAAGAACATCAGAGAGAAAGGCCAAAGGCCCGCCTTTTTCTCAGCGAGCCATGTCCGACGGCGGCACCCCCGCGTCTGAGTCCGAGGATCTCTTGACCAAAGCGCTCGGAATCCTCAGTGAGGACCGAAGAAGAGTTTACTACTCGCCGTCTGATTGTCTGTGGGTGCGTGGTAACTGCAGCACTATGTGTGCATGTGCTACACTGGTACTGCTCTTCATTCAACCCGCCTCAGGAGTTCAAGGAGGGTCTCGTTCCCAAGACGGTTCTCGTACGTCTGTTGGGCAAGTTGTCAGAGAAGAAGCTGGTCACGGAATGCTTGGTGCAGATGGCGGATAATGCAAGGCCGACGTTCGAGTCGAAGACTTCTTGGAGGACTTGCGCAGCTGGCATGCCCGTGACACTTCTGAGGATTTGAGGAAAGAACTCAGCATCGGAAATTTTGCAAGTTGGTGTACATCTGCCGATCTGGAGACGAATCTCAGGAAGATTCAGTCTGTGTTGCGGTACGATGAAGAAGCATCTCCTGGTGGTGCAAGTGCCAGCCCAGAGAGCACACACGGATCTGACAAGGACCAGCTAGAAGTCGGCATGAAGATCAGGCTTAATCTTTCGAAAGAAGAACTACAACAAAGATCCGCTGATTGGCAGCCGCATGATGCGACGATGCTGAGGCATGTTTGCTTTGTTGGTCCTGGAGAAAAGCAGTTGAAAGAGTTGGATTCCATTGCCAAAGGCCGGCACTGGATCGAGTTCGGAATTCTTTTTTCTACACACAGTTTGCCAACTCGAAAGACAGATGCGGGAGCCGGGCAGGGCTTGCAAGAATCCTACGACTACGGCACCGGCAATGAGGACGTTGCAAGCAAATACCCGCGATTGGACAAAATCGCAGAGGCCTGGCTCACATCACAGCCCGAAAGCATACTTATCCTTGAGCCACCCTAAATCTTTTTTGCAGGCTTTGAAGCAAGACGGGGCTTCCTCCAGAGCGCGCTTCTGTGCACACCTGCTTGGAGAGCCCTTCGACACTTGCTTGCTCGACGATGGCAGCCAGAGCTTTCTCAACTGGCTTGTGGAGTGCGGCTTCCAGAAGGTCTTGCTGCACTGGTCGCGCTTCAGTAGCAGTCCCGAGGTCAAGGACCGGACGGATGCTGAAGTGGATCGCTGTGCAGAGCGGCTTCTCAGGTTGATGAACGATTTCGAGAAGCTCGTCTTCGTGCTTTCCATACGCGATCACGGTTGCTCTAATCGTCAGGGCGAGCGGCTTCTCGATCGCCTTCTGGGGGAAGCAAAGCCGGCAAAGATACAGGTGCTGTACAACTCCTCGCGAGGATTAGGCGAGAAGTCCACCATCTACAAATGCCCCGAATCGCGTGATCAGGACAGGCTGGTCGGATATGCCGGTGGTCTTGGTCCGGGAAATGTTGTGCAGCAACTTGATGAAATGCGATGGGTCGTACCACAAGGAAGGCATGTATTTATTGAGGCCCAGTCGGGCGTCCGTGACAAGAAACAGGACGAGTTTTCGATCCCCAGGTGCCTAGAGTTTGCCAAGAAGATTGCCGAAAGCAGTTTCAACCCAGCGAAGGGCGGAGAGGTGTATCCACAGTTTGATGGCAGCTTAGTTCTGGGCGATTCGGACACAAAGGTCTTGTACCCGGACACGGACTACGAGGTGACAGACATTGAGCAGTTGACATTCTCAGTGAAGCCTGCTGGGACGGAGCAGACTGCTAATGTTTTCATTGCAGGCTCCATTGCTGCCAGGTACTTCGCGTTAGTTGGCACTGGCGGTGGGTTGCTGCCGCCACTACTGAAGAATGACCGTCCAGGAGTGAAGAAAGAATGCACTCCCTCCTCGCCAGTTTCTGCAGACATCATTCGCGACTACTTGCAGCCTCCACGCAGGAGTACCCTGAAGATCGTGCGTTCGCCAGCTGCCAATGGTCCACCTTATCACGGCAAGACTCCATTGGACTACTTGAAAAGGCTATTGGAATCAGACGCCTGGAAGATCGCGAAAACGTGCCCAAAGAGGGATGGGGAGCATGCCATAGAAATCTTGCAGAACTGGAGCCAGGGCCTTGTGGCAAGTAATGATGCTGGTGTTGGCGGTCAAGGCCATATGTCAGTGGCTTCTGCCGGATTCGGATCTCGGACAGAGCAAAGGAAGGTTTTTCGAGGGAGTGAGAGGGACAGTTTGGCCGGAAGAGGCATCGCCATCGTGTCAATTCCGGGTGCAGATCCGGTGCTTTACAACACCGTGATCCGCATTTGCCTGGAGGACGGCATGCATTTTGCAGTTGTTTGGCTTTCAGATTGGGGAGACGCTTGGTTTTATGCCTGGCTGCGAAGTGTCACAGATGCCATGTTGCATGGCTGCGTGCCTGTTGTGCTGACCTGGAGCGACGGAAAGATCGGGCGTGCCCAGTCGGCGGAGGTCCTCGCTCTGGAGTTGCAGCCTCAGCATTTACTCAACTCGGGTACCGCTTTCTGACAATTTACCCGTTGCGGCGCCATTGCACCCCGTTGGCCGTTGCGGAAGCCTGTGTCACTTGCGTCCGTCTTGCTTGGACAATAACAGGAGTTCCGGCAACACCTCAACGCTGGTTTCCTCGACCACGAAGGGTCACAAGATATGCAGCCGAAACCATCTAGAAATGTAAGGCCAACAGTGAATCTGCCGTAGTGCTTGGAAGTGTGCCGCGGTCTGAAACATGTTGCACTGTGGACATGTGGCTGATGAGGTTCCTGCAGATAAAGTTCTTCACCATGGCGATGGTCGACTTTGTCCGGGTGCGGAGGCCGCTTCACACCGTGATGGTTCGCAAGGAGTGGACTTTGCTACGCCGTTTTTTGACAAAACAGAACCCTCTGCCCTCTCACGAATCTCTGGCTATGGCAATGAAGAAGAGTGATGGCCGCGGAATGTCTCCATTGATGGTGGCAGTGGACCGTGCTGCGGAAGTCGGCGTTCTACGATCGCTTGTGGCCAATGGGGCAGACTTGGACCAAGAGGACAACGACGGTTGCACGGCCTTGGATCTGTCAAACCGAAAGTGTTCCGAGGCAGGGACGATGTCCTCCGAGATGCGCAGTTGCCACAGCGAGATTAAAGCGTTCTTGCTCAAATGCAGCCCACCATGCCTTGAATTTGGCATCTGTGGCCTGGATATCACGTTGGACAAGAAGCATTTGTTCAGGCTGCTCACTCCGCCTCGTGGCAGCCGGGTGGTTCCAGTGGCCGCGTTTCAACTGGCATACCAAGGATTTCCTTGGCAGCCAGAGGAAGGGTACACGCTCGGGTCCTCGCTGGAGGAGCGGCGTTATCCGAACGGCGCAACCTATCCTGCATGGCATGAGATAGACGACATCATTGCAGCCATGCCCGCTGGAACATGGCTGTCGTTTCACCTCAGTGAAAGCAAAAAATGCCCATATGTCAGCTCATTGCTGAAAGGGGATCCCAGCACAGTTCGCTTGGTTGATTGTCTCTGTGGAAGCAAGTATAAGGCACGCCATGTACAGATCAACATCAATGCCGACGGTGTGTGCCTGGCCATGAGATCGACCAGGACAGCGCTGCTGCCCAGATTTCCGAACTGGCCAGGCAATATCCAGACACGAACTTTCTCATTCCTATCTTTCAGAAAAAGATTCAAAAGGACACCGCGGACTCCTGGCCATTCTTTCAAAGAGTGTTGCAAACTTGGCACAACCCATCATCCAAATCAGAGAATCAGCGTGCAAAGAACATCGTCCCGTTCTTCGACAACTCTGGTGGGACGGGGAAGACACCGGATGCCGTGCCGGAAATCCCACCTGACGACCATCGCAATCCGCGGAGAGGTCGAGCTATTGGATTCACGGGAGGGATCAATGCTTGCAATGCAAAAGAATGGCTTGCACGGTATACGCGAAGGTTCAAGCACTTGGCCCCGGCATCGCTTGCATATGTGATGCACAGACGGGCTTCCGCCACAAAAAAGAGCGGAAAGAGCCCATCGATGCCGAGTCTTTGGGCAGGCTGATGCAGGCGGTCTATGAGTGGGGGATGCCAGAGCAGCCTGAGGCCTAGAACCATCGTGCCTGGACCTGAGCCTCCAGCAAGGATAGTCAGCTGATATGGCCTTCTTCGGATGAATGGCGGTGTGCTTGCTAAGCTTTCCCGCTGCCTACAGCCTGAGACCTGAGACTCTGAAAAAGACAGATTTTTTGCCTGCCGTTGCGCCGTACACGGCGAATCACTCTACGTCTACGTGGCGCAGCGCAAGACTCCCCTTTGCTAAACTGCGATGATTTCTTTTCCTTCGCTCCCTGAGGGTCCGCACTCGAACAAAGGGCAGGGGGGAGATGGCACCTGCTACATGATATAGGCTGGACCATAGGATTGGAGCAGCTAGCAAGCCTACTCTGCTAGTTCATAGAACGACGGCACAATTGACTCAGACAGGCGATGCGATCTCAGATCCCCAGCTGGCACGCTCCTCCAGCGCAGCTCCAAAGTTCGAGCACTTGTCCAGGCAGAGGCCCTTTCCAGGCAAGCGATGCGAAGACGGCAAACGCCACCAGAAGAATGGAGTGCGTTAGTCTCATGAAATGATGTTCTCATGGAGCGACAGATACTTGGAACATCCTGTGCACTGCTTCCTGTTGTGTTGGCTTATTGCCTCTGAGCTCATCCATTTCTCCGGCGTTGGCTCAAGATCGGGAATCCCATACCAAGCAAATACGCCTTCAACCTTCCCTTCCTAAACCGCTAGGTGCAGCCATGCTGCGCCCTTTGAGCTCCTGGGCACCAGCTTGAAATCCTACACAAACTCCGGCGTGTCCAGTTTGGGGTGCTTGTGATGCTGAGCACAAAGCCCAAGGCTTCATGCTTCCATTGCTGTTGGTCGGAGCGGCTGTCGAGCTCGACACCTGCCTGGCTGGGGAGTCCTGCGAACCCTCCCAAGGCTCCTTTTCCCATCAAGTTCGGAAACGCAAGGAAGTTGCGATCTCGACTCTACATATTGTTTACGCAAGGAATGGAGCCTGTCACCTGAAACCACACAAGGCTCGAAGATGATGCAGCTGCAGGGCAAGCGGGAGAAGCTGCAGGTCGTCGACACATTGCAGCCAAAGAAGCTCGGCTCGTTCAGACCATCGTCTCGCATCTTCTTCCTCAAGGTTTGGGGTCGCGCCTCGAGGATTTCTGCAGCAGATGGGCTCGCAGGCTACAGGGGTTGGTGTTCGGACTGTTGATTGAGCTGTCTGCCTTGTTTTTCTTGGGCCTTTTTGCCCCTTTTCTCCTCTTAGCTTTATGAGGCAACCCGTTCATCAGCAGAAGCCCGCCGCCGAGGAAGCATCAGGCTGTGAACATCGAGCTGGGCTTCAAGCAGAAGAGGCTCTTCAGAAGCCACAGACCTTACACACACACACACAAACAGACAATCGCAGCTTTCCTTCCATATCTCGCCCTAAAAGCCCGGATCGAAGAAGCTCCTACAAGTACGTTGACTTTTGTGTTTTTTCTTTTAAATATCCTTCCAGGCTTTGGAAGCTGCATCACTCGATGCGGAAGCTGCGTGACGAGAACCTGGCCTCAGAGGTGCAGAAAGCGAGTGTTTGCGGGTTGTGCAGAGAGGTTAACAGTCAGACACACACTTAACTTACTTCTCTCTAGCTTTCTTTGTGTGCCTTGGTTTTCTGTCTCCCTGCTCAGCTGCTAAGGGCGTTAAGGGTCGGGATCTTCTCTCGGTTGCACAAATCGTTGCCTCCAGTTCTCAAAGCTTCAAGCTTCCTGGGCCGGACTCAGGAATTTGAGCGCGCATGCAGCTACCTGCCTGAAGATTGCCCTGCAGTTCTTGGAGAAGGTCAACAAGCACGTCCTAGAGAATGGCATCCTGGACCCCAACGCACCGGCGGATGTCATGGAGTGGTTTGACCATAGCAAGCCTGAGGATGCAGAGTTTGACATGTCCAAGGATGCATGGGTAAAGCATCATGAGGCCATCCTCAGCGCATTGGAATACTACGAGGAAGTCGTCACGCCGGAGGAAGCGGAGGAGAAAGGGTGCGTCATGACGACGGACGTGGTGGATGAGATCATGGGCCTCCCAGACACACCCGAGGTGGGCGCTGCGGTGCAAGGGGACATGATGGCAGACTCGAACCAGTCCGCAGCACTTCTTCAAGCCGTCCGGAAGGGCGAGAAGTTTGTGAGCAATCTTTGGGAAGACAAGCACAACATCCGGTATTGCTTCGGCTCCTCCCTGACGCCCACGGCACATCAGGCGATGGTGGAGGCCATCCAGCACTTCAAGAATCACATCCCTTGCATCGGCTTCAAGCATGTGGCCGTCGGCAATGACACGACGAAGAAGTGTGCAGAGGAGCCCGCCATCTACATCGGCAGCTTCAGCACAGGCTGCTTTGCCCATGTGGGCCGCTTGGAGCCTAAGGCCTTTCATTCGGTTTTCGTGGGTTTGCTAGGTAGGCGAGAGTTGCAGGCTGCGTGAAGCTCCCGAGGTCAGCCCTACAAGATGTCAAGCGATCCAGTGGCTTACACCGATTCCCAGCTGAACCTGGGACCTGGATGCGAGACGATGGGGATCGCTGCACACGAGCCTTGCATCACAAGGAATTACAAGTTTACGGTGCCATGAAATCACATGCTCCACGAGGAGTACCAATGCAAGCTTCCAGCCAGTATCCCCAATCTAATAGGAGCACGCATGCTACTATTCGTCTTCTTATCCTGAATAGGAGCGTTCACTGACCATCCGAAGAATAAGTGTTGGTGGTGAAGAAAAAGAAACCCTAAATGGACCCTAAACCCTAACTCCCAGGAGCTGGGCCACAACCTCGGCATGCTCCACGAGCAGAGCCGCACGGACCATGACCAGCACCTGGACAAATCTCTAGGATCAGCCGTCTGCAGCCGTAGAGAGTACTCTCTTACCCCGAAGTGCACACCCCCTGCGTCCGGACTGCGGGTACTTTAGCCGTGCCCCCGGAACGGCCCGGAACCCCAACCCCATCGTCCGGAGATGAGCACGAAGGGAAGCAGGGGCACGTTTGTATCCCAAGGTACGTGAGGATCCTTTGGGACAACATCCAGGAGGCCAAACGCCACAACTACGACACCAGCCACGAAGGGGACCGGACGATGCCCTACGACATGCTGCTTGATCTGCTTGAGATTCAAGGAGTTGATGGTTTACTGTACCTAGACTCTAGACCCTCTAAATGTGAGTGTCGTTCAGTGGGCACTCCATAGTGATCTCATCGAAGATGAAGGAAAGTACAGTACACAAGAACCTAGGGTCTTGGTAGAGCGGACATAAATGTCTTGATTTGATGTCCTTCTGTTCCGTTCATACTTGCTTGTGTCAGGCTTTCACTCATGCACTACAGCGACCATGCCTTCGGGAAGTACGATGCAGATGGGAATGTGATGAAGACCATGGAGGCTGTGAACACCACGAGTGGATCGACCGTTGTGATGGGCAACAGGATGGGCCTTACACATCAGGATGCCAGGCAGGTCGGCTCGATGTACGACTGCCTTGCCGAGATCGACGACTTCAAGCTCTGTACTCCTGACGCAGACGGCTGCACGACAGAGGACTGTGGCTGCCACCAGGATGCAAGTGCTCTGGACGAAATCATCAAGACCACCGATGACCAAGGCTGCAACCGCTGCCTGAAAAAGTGCCCGGCTTATAATTATGGAACTTCCGGCCCCTGTGGCTGCCCGGAGGGTCTGCAACATGGCTGCTTTGAGGCGGGAGGCACAGAGTACTGCTACTGCAGAGAGCCCACCACCACGACGACGACCACCACCACCACCACGACCACCACGACCACCATCAGCACCAGCGACGCGGCAACGACGACGCAGCAGGAGAGTGGACAGCCACAGTCCGAAGCCTGCAAGCCTGATGAGGCCTGGTGGTGTGAGCACCATGTGGATGCCAAGCTGTCCTTTGAAATTCCTGTTTTGAAGCTTGAGTGTTCTGGAGGGTCAGGTTTTTCATTTGATCAGTTTTCGGGTCCTGGAGCGAATCTAAGGACGAGAGCAACTGCCGGCCTGGCTCCTTTGGGAGCACCAAAGCAGAGTCTTCTTCTGTCTTTTTAAAAACCGAATTCAATTGTGTTAACGAGACCCTGCGCAGCTTTCAGAAGGCTGGACCATCAACGGGCTACCGATCCTCGAGGCCTGTGCAACGAAGTGCGGATTCTGTCATAACCCTCCACCTTGCTTCGACGTCTTCAGCAACTGTGGAGACTATGACTGGGCTTGCACTAGGCCGGAAGTGTCCTTCGGTGGTATGCCCTTCCCTGACGCATGCCCTGACACCTGTAGCGACTGTAGCATCTGTCGCTGCTAGGGGCTGCTAGAAGCTGCTCGCCTGGCCTGAAAAGGGCTTTGTCTTGGTTCTGCAGGGCTTGACAGGAATCACCGACACAAATCAGGGCATTCAGGGCCGGTTTTCATTAGTGGCTAGGGGTTTTGTTACCTGGTCCATAGCTCGACCCTCACGCCTTTTTCAACGTCTCATATCAAACTGCTTTCAGCGGTAGACGGCGGCGTCAGCCCGATTTTGTGAGCTCGAACCCCAAGCTTCATCAATTCCCGACCGGGCCGCTTCTGGCTCAGAGGCACAAGCCGAAGCACAAGACACAGCCAAGGCAAAGTGATGGGTTTGCTTGGCAGAAATGGCGTTGAGCTTCTGTGTGCCCCAACAAACGCCAGATTCATCCCAAGCTCTGCATACCCGCAGCTTTTAGCCCATTCCAGGGTCCAGTCCTGGAACTTAGACTCTAGTTCAATCTCAGCACCTCCGAAGTTGAAGACCTCCTTTCAGCCCTACCTCACATGCGCTTCTTGCAGCTTTAGTCGACCTTTTCCAGAGATGGCGGAAGGAGGCCAGCCTGTGGAGAGCTTCAAGGGTTGTGGGCCGCCAGTACGGTCAGAGTCCTGGTATATGACAACGAAGCCCACAACGTAAAATATTTTTTTGAGGGGTTGTTGAACAGCCTGAAACAAGCATGTAAGATCATGGCCCACCTGACCCACCCTGAGAAAAAGCCCAAACCGGCCATTGTCTTGCGACGGTCCACGTAACCAGCAACGGGAGACTCAAGAAAGGGGGCAGGCACTGAGGAGAACTCCAGAGTCATGGTAAAGCAAACTACCGGTTTCGCTTCCCTTTAGGAGGCTCAAAAGATGCTTCCGTATGCAGTCCCTGTATGAAGCCACCTGCAAAGCTTCTCCCTAAAGCTGTCTGCGGACCATTGCAAGAGTACTGAAGGAAGAACGCTGCTCGCTATGTAGGGTCTTGCTTCACCCTGCTACTGCCAACGATCATCAAGCTCCAGGGAATCCTCGAGGAGGGGACCCGAGTTTAGGGGTTTGGGGTTTTAGGGTTTGGTTTTTTTTTAATGTATTTGTATATAGATAGATAGATAGATAGATAGATAGATAGATAGACATGCACACATGCATGTATATAAGGACATACACATGCTTGTGTACACATGTACACATGTATATCAATATGTGCGCACGTGTATATACAATATGTATATGCATCTCTACATGTTACATGTATGCATACATAGTTATTGTGTATATTTCAGCTTGAGGAGTAAATATCCATGGCAACAACTGGTGCACCTCTCAACCTGTGAAAGTCTGGGCCAGTGGAGTTGACATCTGTCTCAAGCAAGCAGCAGGAGTGACCGCAAAGGCTAACTCTTATTTATGAGCCATGCAGTAGCAGAACGGGGGCGGTTGGTTGTCCCCACTGTGATCAACCAGAACCTTGTGACTGCATGTGTGGACATAGGGAGTGTTATTGAGTTTCAGACCCTGTAGCCCAGTAGGGCTCGTGGAAACTCTGATCTCGCAATTGATACCGTGGTTCTATAGTACCCAGAATCACCCTTTTGCAGAGCCTTGTTTGTTTTCTACTCTCGAGACGTTCTCCCACTGTTTCAAGGCCTTTCGGCCTTCTGCGCATTCTATGGGGAGCGCTCACAGCTTCATGTATGACGTGGAGGCCGGGGCTTGGGCGTTCCTGGCTTTGGACTTTGGAAGCAAATGCCGTGAGTCGCTGCCAGTGCCTTGTTCTAGTTTTGGGGCTCCGCTCGCAGGCAGTTGGTAGCTGCGCGTAGCATCGCGAGTCTCCTTTGGGCCGGGAAGCACAGGAGAGACTAGGGGGAGCTCCTGGCAGAGATTCAGCTGGGAAGGTTTGCCGGGTTCCAAGGCAGTTGCGCAAAGTCTCGCTCTGATTTCTCCTTGCGCGCATAGTGGGCACGTCCCTCTTCCTTGATGGGACCTAAATTGCCCTACCCCCCCCCCCACCAAGCACAACACGGAGTGCAACACCCGAATAGCACAGCCCTGAAACTCCCTGCCTTTTCGTCATGGCAATAGTCACGCCTTCCCCAGGGTCGTAACTGGCCAATAACGCGAAAATGCAAGTTCTGTCGGACCCGCCAGGCTCGGCCTTCCAAGCCGTCCAAGCCCTGAAGTCGAAGTCAGAAGAGGCGCTACTGGTCTAAGTAGGTCTCTCCCTTTCGTTTGCGCTCTCGGCACTTAGGGCTATTCTTGGTTGTAGCTTGTCAAGCAGCCGAGCAAGCCGTACGCCGTACTAGTACAATCCGAAGCCAAAGCATTGGTAGACACCTAGTTTTGGCAAGAAGCTTATCCTGGAGTCCAAACTTTATCAGGTAGGCTGGAAACGGCTGGCCTTTTGCTCCGGCCACTTTGTTCTGGATCAGGGAGTTGCCAGGTACACCCCGCAACGTTAGGAGGTCCTTCAAATTGTTCCAGGTGCTAAGTCTGACGCAGTGCACGTGGTCTTCCGGGCGGATGCCTTGTGGGGGCCACGGATGCGGTGAGCGCGGGATGCGCTTCACTGCATCAGCGCTGCGTCGGATTTGGTGCTCATCTAGGGTTCCAGGGTTGTAGCACGGCAGTCCAAACCGCAAACAAGGCCTCAACCAAATCCCACAACCAAAGTCGAAAGCACTGAGCTGCAAGCAGAGGCCGACTGCCATGACCTTCGTTCGAGGGTGACGCTGGCGCATGGCTCCCAGAGGGGAGCTTGAAAAATCGCGCAAAGAAGTAGACAAAGAGTCAACGCTGAGTACGTGCATCTCGGGTGTACTCGGGCGGTACGTGCTTCAGAAAACGGCCTGTCGTGGATTCCCTGTATTCTAGCTATACTTGTTGCAGGTTGGTTTCCGCTTTGTGGAAGTGTGGCTTTCAAGCTGGCTTCTGGCAACCCACCCGAAGACTCGAATCCTACAACAGCTTAAAGCCCCGTACAGCCTACTGTAGAGAGACAGGTCAGCGTACATGTGCTCGCTTTTGCGCGAACCGCTTGTTTGCTGTTGTGTGAGGACAAATCTGACAAATCTTGAGAATACGCAAGTTTCGTGATTTTGTAAGACATCGTACCACAGACGCCTGAAGATCCTACGAAAAAAACCGCCCGGGTGCCGGCATCATGGTGGGTCTATGTGTAGGCACTGCCAAAGGAAGCAGACAACTGCGCGAAATGCTGTTGGCGAGATCTGCTGTGTTGGTTGTGGTGGGATTGGCGGTCGCGGGCGGCTGCGGCAGGCAGTGATGCCTCTTTCAAATTCTTCGAGTTCTTCGGCCTCTGGCAGTGAAGACAACGTTTTGCCTCGGCGCGCGAGTGAGACATCACCATCACATTTGAGGGCGATGAATATAAGTCGCACCAAGCCTTGCTACCAGTGGCATACCGTGAAATGGTGATGCGTTGGCCTGATCGTTTAGGAGTTACAAACTCACGGCTTTGGGCGTCTTTTGCGCACTTTGTTCTTTTCCTGGCCAGTGTGCAGCCAGAGGGTTTTTCTCAGCAGATGCTCGGGCCAAACTGCTGCACTTGCCGCGGTGCCTCATCGAACCTTGAAGCGCTGAAGCGCTCCATGAACACGTTGCACACTCGTCGAGCAAAGTTTACGCTTGTTCCCGGCAGTGGTGAACATGTAGGTGGGGTACAAGCCGTTATGTGATAAACGCTGCTGAGGTGAAGCCCCTGCCATGGCTCACCAAACGAGCGGAGTTTTACACACAGCAAGAAAGAGAATAATCCTTTAAGTATGTGAAACATGTTAGGACTTGGCACCTACTTTGTGAAATGTACATGTGTAAAGTGTAAAGGCGCTGCTCAAGACCTATTGTGCTTGGCCTACGAGCAAGAAAGGAGAACAGACATGTCCACATGGCATGAGCTGCAAAAGGAAGCATGCACTTCAGCACTCCTCCTTCGCAGCCCCGNNTACTGCAGGTCCAACCCGTCAGGGTGACGACACACCTACCCTGGCCTACCTGGCAAAAGCTGGGCCAACTGCCCTCACTGTGCGAGGGCGCTCCCGTGGCACTGCTGGCACACTTGAAACGCAACAAACTTGTGCGACTGTGCGAGCCACGCAACAGGCAGTCCAGTCCAGGCTTCAAAAAACAGTTGGAGGCCAATCAGCCGTGCAATGACGCCACACCGCATGCCCTGCATCACAACCGTCCTCGACACCCAATCGCTCAGTCATGCCGGCAAGCTGTTTCCCGGTTTCGGGTGTTCGAAGCCGGGACAGGCTGAGCCCTGCCATGCGACAAGCATTAGATGAGGAGGAGTGGGAGGCCGCATCAGAGGTACAGGTCATCAGAGGTACAGGTGAGCCTAGCCGGCAATACCACCACAACAGTGCGGCTCGCATCCTCAGGCACTTTGCTCCTGCCTCCCGGGAGGGATGGCCTAGCGCAGCCAATAGTCCCAATGAGCGCAATCATTGAGCAACTTGGGTATAAACTGGTTTGGTCCGCCGGTAGTTGCAAGCT